GCCCATTGCGGGAGCGTGTGTGTGTGTGTGCGCGTGTGTGTGCGCGTGTGTGTGAGACACATGGACTGACCCTGTGTGTGTGTGTGTGTGTGTGTGTGTGTGTGTGTCTCAGGGCCAGATGGCAGGACGTGTCCGGGACGCACGAGAACTGGAGCGACGAGGAGTCACTGTTCAGTGCCACTTCAGGTGCACACACTAGCCGTGCCATATTAGTATCCATAATTACCATTGCTATTGATGATAAGGCATTATTGTGTGGTGATATTTTGATGATAGTGTGTTTTGTGCTAGTTTTCTTCATATTCTGTGTAGTACTGTTTACACTGATACTTGCCACCTTAAACTAGGGCTGTGCAAACGATTGTCCTGTGCATCTCGTCAGTAAAGCGGTTCTGTGATTAGTAGTAAATCTCCATCACCTGCTTTCAGACGGAGCAGCATTTACTACAGAGCCGTAGTTCTCTGACAAGCTACATAATGTCACGTTCATTATCGGCGAGGAATCGCCTGCGATTAACTGATTCCTACCTTAAACTGATTTACAGGCGAAATTTACCATTATAGGGACATTTTTCCTAACCTTATTAGAAGTATGCTGCTGCTTTTATGTTAAAGTCTTACATTTAATCAGTAACGTTAATTAGAATAAGACACTGTAGACTGTTACTAATCAAATGAAATCAGGATCGACACAACCCATCTTTGCACTGCAGGCTGTGCATCTGAAGCAGCAATAAATGTATTTACAGTGCAATTACTGTTTCATAAATAATGGATCAAGGTGTCCTTGTTACAGTATAATTATTCATTTAAGTACCGAGTCATGTTAATTCACTACATGTACTTACTATATGGTTAGGGTTTGGCTTAGAGTTACTTGCATATAATTTATAGTTATTATAATAGTAAGTGCATGTAACGTGTAACAAGGACACCTTCAAATAAAGTGTTACCTAATAATGCTAGGAGATTATTTTAAAAACAGTATTTTGAATATTGACATTTGAAATGTTATTTAAAAGGATATTTTTAAGCATGAAACTAAAACAGCCTGTAAGTGGCAGCAAGTGACTATCGTGATGAGTGAGTCATTGAATTATTTACAGCTGATTCATTCAGGAATAAAGCAAGTGACTTTCATTCTCAATGGATTGTTGAATCATTGATTCGTTCAGCAATTAAATAACACTGCATGTTGCTCAGAGACGCGCAGCAGTTGTCTGGATCTATTTTCAGCCGTGAAATACAGCACAATTGACAGAAAACAAACTGTTGTGCTTAAAATGTAGCTTAAACAATATGAACTTATTGAAAGTGCAGTTGCACTGATATATTGGGGGAAAATACGTGATATTGCTAAACTATATGTGACCCTGGACCACAAAACCAGTCACAAGTGTCAATTTTGTGAAATTGAGATTTATACATGTGATCATACGCTCATGTTTCTGCTTCACGTCTGTCTGTTTCAGATCGGTCCAGTAAGAAGTACAGCAGGAAGGTGTGTATTTGTCCATCGGCCGCTCCTGTGTGTCTGTGTGTCTGTGTGTCTGTGTGTGTGTGTGTGTGTGTGTGAGTGAAGTGTGCACTAACAGGTGTGTGTGTGTGTCAGATGTGGACGGTGCAGGAGTCGGAGTGGCTGAAGGAGGGAGCGCAGCGCTTCGGCGTGGGACACTGGGAGAAGATCCGCTCCGCCTTCCCCTTCACCGGACGCACCGCCGTCAACCTGAAGGACCGCTGGAGGACCATGCTCAAGACGTCTGTCTGTTTCAGATCGGTCCAGTAAGAAGTACAGCAGGAAGGTGTGTATTTGTCCATCGGCCGCTCCTGTGTGTCTGTGTGTGTGTGTGTGTGTGTGTGTGTGTGTGAGTGAAGTGTGCACTAACAGGTGTGTGTGTGTGTGTCAGATGTGGACGGTGCAGGAGTCGGAGTGGCTGAAGGAGGGAGTGCAGCGCTTCGGCGTGGGACACTGGGAGAAGATCCGCTCCGCCTTCCCCTTCACCGGACGCACCGCCGTCAACCTGAAGGACCGCTGGAGGACCATGCTCAAGCTCAGGCTGGTGTGACCCACACGTGCTTTATCATGTTTTATATTCATGTTCCTGTTTTAAAACCATGTGTTCAGCTTGTGTTCCTTATTAAACGTTTGTTCTGTTCGTGCAGCGCTGCTGTCGTTATTCATTCAGGGCCGTCCTTAGATTTGAGCTGTGGTTCGTTCAGTGAAAATCAAATCAAGGAAGAAATCAAAATCTATGCATCTCTGTTTGTTTATTTATTTATTATATACATAATATACATTATACATAATACACATTAGGATTTAAAAAAAAAGTTTTTGATGCTTAATGTTCACCACGGCTACTTTTATTTGATCAGAAATATTGTAAAATATTATTACAAAATATACATTTTGAAAGGAATGTGAATTGATTTTAGTTGTTTTGGTTGTTTAGTAATTAAAATGGGGAAAAAATGGTGAACAGTGAAACACATTTTTAAAATGGAAGAAAAAATACAAAATCATTTTGTTTTTGATACACACATTCAAACCTTGACAGCCCATCTTCATTAAACAATGATCGATTTATTTTAAATAAATGCAAAATCAAGTCAGCACACGTAGCCCCAAAATAATACAAACGAAATACACTGATTGAAAACTGAACTAAATCAAATGTTCAATTGCCATGTTTCCATCCACAATTATGCACAAAATTGTAATCTCGCATGGAGGAATTTATTCGGTAAATGTTTCCATCGTAGTTTATGCACATTTTTTTTCTTATCGGATAAAAAAGTTGATCCTACTCAATTGTGCACATACGTTTTTAGAATTTATGCATGTCTTGGTGTTTTTATTTTATGCGATATTCCAAAATGTGCATAGAAATAGGTGGATGGAAACATGGCTATTGTCAAGCGGATGGAGGACCACCATGAGGAAATCTGTGATACCTTCCTGGCTCTGCTGTCAGCTGATGAACATCAGTCACTTCCTCTGGGTTTGACATGAACATTTAAAGAGACGTTCATCCACACGTGTGCAAACAATGTCACTGCGCCGCAGATACTGATGCTCTTCCTCAGTGTGTCAGCGTCTCATTTTCCAGCGCAAACATCCTCGAATCAACATACATTCACTGGAGATGCAAAAAACACTAAACTAAATGAAATCACATTTATAATATTCCAGCTCTTGCACACTACAGCAAAATACACCGATGTTCAATAAATAGTGATTTTTAATAGTTATTAATGCACTTATAGAAACTCTTCAGATGTATTGGGATTGTTTTCTTCAGTGTTGACGGCAGTGACTTCATTTATTCACAGGAAACATGCGAGCAGAAACACTAAGGGGCTGTTCACACAGAACACATGTAAAACGCGAGACGCGACGCCAGCAATGGTTTCGAAAAAACTCCTCCGCCATGTTGCCGTCAAATAAAACGGTTGTCATGCCAACCTGCTCCTGTAAACAAAAGCTTGCAACACTTGCTCCGCCTCCAGGGTCTTCCGATTGGTCCGCTGTGTGTAAAAGTTTAAATTCTTAAAAAAACGCAACGCTCTGACGTTTGAATCCCGGACCTTTCCCGATCCCCCCCCCCCGTCCCACCTCACTTCTTGTCCTAATAAAGGCAAAAATAAAACACAACGCTCATGTGCAAGACGCGATGCACCAGTCATAGTATGTATTCATAGAGAAAGAATGTAAAGCAGCGCACTGTAGTGAACGGCCCCTTGTGTTGCGTTCAGCACTGGCAGGGCTGCTGCTTCTGGCGCTCTGCTAGCAACGGCCCGCTGACGACTGCGCGAGAGTTAGTGCGTAGCAGCACGTGTGTGTCAGCGTCCGGCGTGACGCTCAGGCCGTTCTGCTGCAGCAGCTGCCGTGCCATCATGACGAACGCCTCCTCCACGCTCCGCTTCTCCCGCGCTGACGTCTCCAGAGCCGCTAGCATGCCCTGCTCCTCCGCTAGCTTACAGGCGTCTGAGAACGGCACCTGCCGCTCCGTCTCCAGGTCGCGCTTGTTACCTGAGGAGACGGAGAAGAGCTTTAGAAACATAATCGGACTATGTTTACATGGACATCAGTAATCTGATTATTTACCTTATTCTGAATAAGCCAATATCATGATTAAGGTGTTTACATCAGCTGCTTTTAGAATATTCCTTTCGTGTTCCCGTTTTACATGTTATAGTGCATAGATCGATTAATGCACACATCATTACGCCCCCTCCAGAATTTCACATTTCAACAGTTCGTCTTCGTTATGGTGCCATATACAGTTCTGGGTGTTTAATTTTTTATTTTATGAAAGCTTCAAGTGCAGTTAATTATTTGGCGTGCTATACGTGCAAACAGACAACGGTGTTGTTGAAGCCATGCTCTTTTGTTTGCCATCAAACTGTTGACGTGTGTGTATCCTGTTGCAAAATGTGGCGAAAGTCCTACACGACGGTAACAATGTGATTTAAGTGTGTACATGTCTATACTGCACTTCAATAATGCGACTAAAATAGGAATAATCCACGTCTTAATTTGATCTGTGTTTACTTCGAGTATGACTTTAGCCGGATTAAGTAATCAGAAACCTCTGTTTACATGATAGATTCTTAATCAGAGTATTGTCTTAAAGGGAATATTGTCTTAATCAGAGTATTGTCTTAAAGGGAATATTGTCTTAATCAGAGTATTGTCTTAAAGGGAATATTGTCTTAATCAGAGTATTGTCTTAAAGGGAATATTGTCTTAATCAGAGTATTGTCTTAAAGGGAATATTGTCTTAATCAGAGTATTGTCTTAAAGGGAATATTGTCTTAATCAGAGTATTGTCTTAAAGGGAATATTGTCTTAATCAGAGTATTGTCTTAAAGGGAATATTGTCTTAATCAGAGTATTGTCTTAAAGGGAATATTGTCTTAATCAGAGTATTGTCTTAATCAGAGTATTGTCTTAAAGGGAGTATTGTCTTAAAGGGAGTATTGTCTTAAAGGGAGTATTGTCTTAAAGGGAGTATTGTCTTAATCGGAGTATCGTCTTAATCGGAGTATCGTCTTGATGGGAATATCGTCTTAATCGGAGTATTGTCTTAATGGGAGTATTGTCTTAATCAGAGTATCGTCTTGATGGGAATATTGTCTTAATCAGAGTATCATTTTAATCAGAGTATCGTCTTAATCAGAGTATCGTCTTGATGGGAGTATCGTCTTGATGGGAGTATCGTCTTGATGGGAGTATCGTCTTGATGGGAGTATCGTCTTGATGGGAGTATCGTCTTAAAGGGAGTATCGTCTTGATGGGAGTATCGTCTTGATAGCCGATAGGCTGTCGATTCATTAAATGATATGCTGTTTCCTCTGAAAAGCTGTTTATTCAGCGTAGTGAAGCCTCTCCTCCATCGACATCCATTCAGAGAAAACGGCCTCTCGTCTAACTTCCGAAACTGGGAGCGTTAGCTTTAGCCGTTAGCTTTTTTTGGCTAAAGGTTGCTGGCTTGTCTTCTATTGCCTTTGGCAACGGCTGACTGCATACTCAACACTGAACACTACACACTGTGTACTAAACATTCTACCTACTGAACACTACACTGCATACTGCCTACCGAACACTGTACATTTCATACTGCGTACTAAACCGCACACTGTGTACTAAACACTGCATATTGGGTACGAAACACTGCATACTGCCTATTGAACACTACATTTCATACTGTATACTAAACACTACATACTGTACACTGCATACTGAACACTGGATACTACATAATAAATAAGGCTGTCATGATAACCACAATATTGCAATACTGTCAAGCCAACCTCAGAGTATGACAAGCACACTGCATACTATCTACTGAACTCTGTACACTGCATATTGCGTACTAAACATACTGCATATTGCCTACTGAACACTCTATACTGCATGCAGATTTGACCCTACACAGCATACTAAACACTGCATACTGCCTATTGAACACTACACTGCATACTGAACACTACATTTAATTCTGCATACTAAACACCACATATGAACCCTTTCCACAAGACTGATAACGTGTTTCAATGGTCATCAGCTCTGTAAATCTGCTGAAGTTTCCTATATTTCTTTTTAGTAAGTGTATTTATAACACTAGACTTTGTTTTATATTAGCCTACATTTGCATCAAATTACAAAAAAATAGTTAACGCTGCAGTGAGGGTGCTTCTAATACAGCATCTATGGGAGGGACGGCAAATTTGACATCGTTCTCTCTTCTGACTGCCGTTATCAGTCTCTCTATTTTTTTCCTTTGTTTTGAAAGTCGTGAAAACACTATCGTGGGGTTTTTCTTTTGCTATTTGAGCTAATGGGAATGCACAAAAATATATTTGTGGTACTCTCCCATTCACTGCTATAGAAGTTTACCCAACTATGACGACTTCCGCTGCTGAGAAACCCGGAAATCTGGAAAAAGGTCCATTGCATATTGAATACTGTACACTGCATACTGCCTATTGAACAGTGTACACTGCATACTGAACACTGCACTGTATACTAAATACCGCAAACTGAACACTGTTCACTGCCTATTGAACAGTGTACACTGCATACTAAATACTGCATACTGAACACTGCACTGCATACTGTGTACTAAATACTGCCAATTGAACCGTGTACACTGCATACTGTATACTAAAAACTGCATACTGAACACTGTTCACTGCCTATTGAACAGTGTACACTGCATACTAAATACTGCATACTGAACACTGCACTGCATACTGTGTACTAAATACTGCCAATTGAACCGTGTACACTGCATACTGTATACTAAAAACTGCATACTGAACACTGTTCACTGCCTATTGAACAGTGTACACTGCATACTAAATACTGCATACTGAACACTGCACTGCATACTGTGTACTAAATACTGCCAATTGAACCGTGTACACTGCATACTGTATACTAAAAACTGCATACTGAACACTGTTCACTGCCTATTGAACAGTGTACACTGCATACTAAATAGTGCATATTGTACACTGTATACAGTCTGTTGAACCCCGTAAACTGTTTATTAAACACTGCATACATACATACTGCCTACTGCTTGTTGTATGTTGAATACTGCGTACTGACTCGTGCTCAGTGTACACTGAACATTGTACACTTCATTCTGCCTACTGCTGAGTATATACTATGACTAATATACACTACTGAACACTACATAGGCATGAGAGCAGTACACTACATCCGCTGTACACTGACTATTTAACACTACTGCATATTGAACAATGTATTCTGCTGAATAGTGTGCATTGCATACTGTCTGCTACTAAGTACAACATACTGCTTACTGAACATCTATATGAAATGTATTTTAGTACACGTCAGCTTCATGTAGATTCCTCTCTCTCACAAACACAAAGCGCATGTTTATCTGTGAAGCAGGAAGCAGCGTGTGTTTATCTGGATCAGCACTTCCTGTTTGAGCGTCTATAGAGGACAGACCTGCTGATCCGGTTGAACCGGTTGGGTGTCAGAATCACACTGAGCGCTTGGTTCTAAACGGCGGTGACCTCTGACCTTCACTCTGCGGCCGTCGATGCGGAGCGTGCGCACGGTGAAGTCCACGCCGATGGTGTTCTGCTGCGCCTCGGAGAACAGGCCGCTCTTGAAGCTCTGCACCAGGCTGGTCTTGCCCACGTTGGAGTCCCCGATGAGGATGATCTTGAAGAGGAAGTCGAAGGAGTCGTCCCGAGGATCCTCTGGCTCCATGAGTCCGCTCTGCTCTGCTCTGCTCTGCTCTGCTGCTCTCTGTGCGCTCGCTCCTTCCTCCTCTACCTGGACAAACAGGTGAAACCGCCACCTGCACAGCTGCATTGTGGGTAATGTAGTGCAGCAGCTCAACTACAAGCACACACAACATGACATTAACATCCGCTGCCGTGAAAACTAAGCTAC